GTGGATCTGAAGTGATTACTTCATTCTGTCGTCCATTTCCTAGATCTGCAGGAAGCAGATCTATGTTTTGATTCCAAGCCATTGCAGCTCAGTCCTGAGCTAATCTTCCTCCTCCTTTACTAGGTATGCAGCTCGTGGTTCTGAATCCCAGAATCTACCGCTCTGATACCATGTTCAAGTAAATGGAACAATCAATTTTATTCATTACTCGCCCACACAAGGTACAGCAATGGCGGGTCTATTTATAGACCAAGCTAAAAGAGGGAAAATGAAAAACAGACTCAAACGAACTTAAAACAAACTATCCTTTTATTACAAAGAAGGACTGAACTATTTAAGAAGAACAATTAAGTCCCTGAAGAAATAATCTGTACAGTATTTCAGCCTAACATCTCCGATCCATTGGTCAACATATTTAATGGTCATTTTTGAACTTGTAATGAAAAATAAGAATGAAATGAAGCAGCATCATGAGTCTTACATAAGGAACAAAAAACCAGGAGCTTCTCCACTTCAGTGAGTCTATAGTTCTTGTTCCCTTGCGAGGCAGTGGATCTAAAATCAAATAAGTAGTTTAGGAAATGCCACATAGGGATCATAATTTAGAAGCTATATGATTTTATAGTATGCACAAATATTATCCAGTTCAAGTTGTAACATTGTGATGTAATCCAAATGTGGACACGGGAGATGATGGTTTTTTTCCTTTTCCTTTTTTATTTTATGGGTTTTAATATAATTAATGTTGTAATTGTCATTATTTAGAGTTCATTTTATAGTTTGTTAGGAGTTTAGAGACTTAGGTTGCAATTGTATTGGATGTGCATTTGATTTTTATTGAACAGCCGCAACTATGTTGGTTTTGGAGTCGGTTTTGTTTAAAAAAAATATCTTGACATTTTTCTCTTAGTTTCATGTTAATAATTTGGTATTCTTAGTGAACCAACGAATTTATTTATCAAAATCAGTGCTTGACGTTCTTCTAGAATCAACAAGATCTTGATTTTCTAAAATTCACAGTATTCTGAGAATCAACATGTTTTTAAGCATGTTCATTGTCTGCATTTGTTCTGCTGCATGATTTTGTGAACATGTTGTTTTGAATTTTTCTTTCTTATTATTGAGTTAGTTAGCTTCATCAAATGGTTTGCCATCTAGGGATGCATATTATTTACTTTACTAATTTAATCACGCTAGAAGATTTTGCGTAGATGAAGACAGACTAAATCAATGTGAAAGAGAGACGAAAACATAATAGAGTTTGAATATACTAGATGTAATTTAACTTCATATGTATAATATGAACTAAAGAGTACATAACTTATGTCTTTAAATAACATTAAGTGGCTGTCTAGGCGCGCTTATGGAGGAGAAAAAATCAATTTTTTAACCGTTGCAGCCTACAATTGTTGACCCTTTCTCTCACGGCTGGGACCCGCATAAAAGAGTACATAACTTATGTCTTTAAATAACATGAAGTGGCTGTCTAGGCGCGCTTATGGAGGAGAAATAATCAATTTTTTAACCGTTGCAGCCTACAATTGTTGACCCGTTCTCTCACGGCTGGGACCCGCATATCTCCTCCAACGGTAGTATTTCTGATTTTAAGTGGGCATTTAATTGGAACCAGACATGCTTTAAGTACATGAACTCACGAGTAGTTTATATACTCCTGGAAGAAAATCTCAATACCACTGAACTTTTAAAGTTATTTCCTTATAATCGTTATGCGCTATATGGAATTGAACAACATAGGAATTTATATGTAAACATTGTATTCAGTATCTATAGCCCTCTAATTATAAGAGGCAACATCTCTCCGATTCACCTCCTAGATATTAGGACAGTTTTTTTGTGTGTGCGTGTGTGAGAGAGAGAGAGAGAGTTAGATCTTCAAACTTGATATTCCTAATCGGGTGGAATAGAGCAAGAGTCGTATTGCTCAAGTCAACAAGTGAAGTGCCCAGAAAGAGTCTTCAATGAGTGACAAACAAGCGACAACCTAATAAAGGAACGTGGCTTGTTGAGTAAGGTTGACTTTCGAGCCCAAGTATATGTTTGAAGTTATCTATCTCATATAAAGGCTTTCCTAAGTTTTAAAAAAGGGGCACATAAGTTAGGCAATTTTTTTGCAGGAGTGATAACACGCCCTGAACTATATTTTTCTTCACTTCTTGTTCTCCACGTTTTTATTCTTGTTCGCTTTGCTGCCTACACCTATTTAGAGGTAACTAAGATCTTTAAAATTTTCGAATTGGATAGTAACAATCCGTGAGGCGACGAGATAGTAAGAAAAAATTAAAATAAATAAATAAAGCTCTACTATGCTATAAGTCAACAGATTACAACAACTGAAAGTTACCCTGCAACAAATAATCTGTCTTCTTCAACTTTCCCATATTTATCACCAAATGCTTAAAGAAACAGTAGATGCAAATAAAGAAACCAAAGAACCCCATACTAACCGATAATGATTGATCATGAGAACCTTCCACTCTTCTTTTTCTTAATGCAAACACGTGAAAATGAAATATAAATAAAGCGATGCTTCAAATAAAAGCAAAATCATCCCTTCTTCTTCACTCAAGAAATATTATGAACCAATCAATGGATTTTCCAATCAAAAGCCACCACTCTATAATGAGGATGTGATGGTACCTCTAGTGGGATGGGTACAGAACAAGAAAAATGCCCCCAGAAGTATTCCATTGCCATCCTCTTGTTACTCCACGGATTCCAGTTCTGCCCCGAGTCCCATCCAAATCCGAGAAAAAACAAACGTTGCAAAAGAAATTTCATCGAAGAAGGATGAAATTTACGAAAAGGAAGCTCATACCAGTTCTTGTTTTCATTCTATTGATTGCTTCAATCCTCCGACTTCTCAAACTCACAATGATAACTTCATCTCCGTCTCTGCCTCCATCTGGATCGCTTCTTTTTCGTCAGCAGAAGTGTTCGTTATCTTCTTCAAATTGCAGGAATAACACCGGTATTATTACTGAAAAGGAAAATCGATTTCTCTTGGATCTTGTTTCTCGGAGAATTCCCTGCAAACTTCTTGTTTTTGGGCTAGAACCACAATACTTGAGCCTTGCCTCCTTGAATGATGGTGGATTCACCGCCTTCATTGATGACGATCCCGAGAAAGTAAGCACTGCGAAAGCTATAAAGAAGACTCGAGTTTACAAAGTAGAGTACCAGACTATTGCTGCTGAAGCATTCGAGCTACTCAAGCATGCCAGAGAAAATCCAGATTGTGCACCTAAGTTTCATCTGCCCAAATTGTCAACGTGCAAACTGGCATTAACAAATCTCCCACAAGAAGTTTATAACACAAAGTGGGACGTTGTGGTGGTGGACGGACCGCAAGGGGACACACCAGATTCCCCGGGGAGAATGGCGGCCATCTACACTGCTAGTATACTAGCACGAAAAGGAAATGTGACCGACATTTTAGTACATGATGTAGATAGAATGATCGAGAAGTGGTTCTCGTGGGAATTCCTGTGTGAAAAGAACTTGGTTTCGTCGAAGGGAAGATTTTGGAATTTTCGAATACTCAGGGAACCTAATGGTACTAAATTTTGCACGATATAAACATACCAATGCCACTTCCCAAACTCCAATATTCACATTTTTTGCTACTTGATAATCTTTTCTTTCAAGTATCACGACAAGCTCAAGAACTACGACAAATACTGCAGTCCTACCTGTATAGCTAGACATACCCAGAAAATTTTGTTAGGCGTGTGGGTAGTAGATTTTGAATTGTGTTAGTTCTTCCGTAAGAAATATGATTATTTACTCGGATGCTCATCGGGTCAAAGAAGATGATTGAATAGAGGGACTTTCGAATATATGGCAATCTTAAATGTGTCAACATCAATGGTGAGTACAATGGGCTAATCGAGACTTGATTTATCAGATCTAAAATAATTATATGAGAGATGCTTCACGTACAGGAAAGATTTCACAGGACACTCACACATTTGTGGGTTCAGCATAATTTTTTTTTAAAAATACATGGTGGCCCCACCGTGTGAGTATTTTGGTAAGCCCCCGTGAAATGAATCATGTACTTGAGGATTAATTGTAATACTTTATAAATAATGGTTCCACTTTTAAATAATAGATGAAAAATAATACAAGTTCTCACATTTTACTTGAAAAAGAGAAAAAAAAAGGTTGATGGTAATAGACGTTTCTATGAATGATGAAACATTTGACATCTTCTTCTTCAACGCTGCTTTAAAAATACACAATTATTATATAAAATTAGATTGTTTAATGAATAAAAATATATTTTTTCTTTCTAAATAGAGAGTTAGCGCTGGACGTTCTATAAGAGATCTGCTATTTGGGTACTGTTTTACGTTAATCTTTTTCTTTACTGAAATAAAGTCTCTGATTATATATAATATAATCAGCCAAATCACAACAATAGTCGATATGTCCGAGTGGTTAAGGAGACAGACTTGAAATCTGTTGGGCTTCGCCCGCGCAGGTTCGAACCCTGCTGTCGACGATTTATTCATTTTTTATCATTTTCTTTCCTTTTGCTTACTTTAATTTGGGTAAGAGGGAAAATTACAGAGAGTAGAGTTACTTCATACTTTTAAGTGGTTATCACATTTGACTCTCACGAATGAAATAAGGAAGATAGGGTTCAAACCCTATTATCCACTTCGAAAATTATTTTATTATTTCATTACCATTTTTTCCATGAAATTTTCTGATTTTATTTTCTTGTACATGTAGTGTCCCAACAACGAGTTATCTGTTTTTCAAGTCTAATGTACCAAATTTGCCATTGAGGCTCGAGAAGATTTTCATATGTTTTTCTCTTGTTGTCCAATAAGTTATATAACCTAACAAGTCATGACAGTATAACAAGTATAACTCCATTAAAAAATTCATGTTTTCTTGGGAGTAAGTAGAGAATGAGATTCTTCTGTTATAGAAATAAACAAATGTTGTACAGCCTTACACAGTGTCAGTATCTACATAGAAAGAACATAAATTCCTAGTCCATAGATACAAAATAATATTGACAATAAAACTCGTAACTAGCCAACCAATCTATTTTCCACCTGATCTTTCAGCAGGTGAAAAGGAAATGAAAGTCTGCTCAGTGCAAATTCCTCTATCTAGTTACCGGTCTCGCCTCAAGTATGTCAACACACCTAAACCTGCAATTAGTGCTGCCCCGGCTGCCACAGCACTACATGCTGAAGCCCAAGCATCTGACTGAGCATAATCCAGGCTTCCAGAGCTGGAACTTCTCGTCCGATGAGGTGATTCCGAATAATCTAAATGCAATTTTAGTCCCTGTTCATGTTTAGCTTTACCTAGGTTAGTGATCGTAATTATAATAAAGAATGAATGGCAAACATACAAGAACGTTGTTATGGATATAAATTAACACCATTGTTTGAGCCCCATTATCCAAAATTCATTTTTTTCTTAAACTCATTTTCAACCACACATTCTATCAATAAAATAATTTACGCTTGAACTCAAAAAAATTTATTACTTTTGAAATATTAGAGTTTTTCTTAGCGTAGAGCATTCCGCAAGCTTTTCAAGTACACCACAATTTACATGCCCAATAGACCCTCTTACATTACTCGCATCAATTAGAATTTAAGGGAAAAAAATACTACAAATATATAATGGAAGAACAGAAGAAATACATTTAATACCTTCCAACCGGCCAACCTTGCATGGTCCACAGCTGCTTGAAGATCACTATCCGATGCAAGTACAACTTCGTCATGGTCTTCGTCTTCATACTGCAGAGGTATGATCATTCATGAAAAGTTCGCAAGGAGGGAAAAGAAGGGAGGGATTCAACAACAAAACCTACCAGAATCAGTGGAAGGTAGTTACGGTCAATGTCATTCCCCAATCTCTGAGTGATAGCAGTAAGGAGGTTTGTCAAGTTTCGTGTATCTGAATCCAAAAAACAGCATTCAAAGTCATGATCAAGAAAAACTCAGGTTTTTTAAAGTCGAGACAATAGAAGAGTACAAGCATTGGCTAAGTATGAGAATTTTTCCTCAATGGAACTGATAGTTATGCTAAATTCCTTCAATCACTGTTGAAGACAAGATTAAAGTGATATACACGTGGCCACAGCTTAAACTTTTAGAACAAGTTGTCCAACATGACACAAGAACACACAAAGGTCATGAGTTCAAGTCATCTCCCATTTAGAGAATTGTGTGCGTATGCCGCTTTAATGAAAAATTGAACTCCACCTAAGATTTGGCATTCTCTATGAGCTTAAACTTTCAAGTGGTTCAACAAACACACGTTCTTTTCGAGACAACTGCGGTTATGCAGCACATTGTTTGGCTGACTTAAAAGTTATGTTTAAGTTTGTTTTTTGCCAAACACATTTGTGTTCTTTTTACAGTTTTTCTTCTTACTTTTAACGCAGCAGCGCTATATATACTGCGAAAAAAAGGAAAATGTAGCCCTTTTCTTTAAAAGCTTAGCCAGAATGCAGTTAACTGTAATTTAGGGCGTGTTCGGTAGAAATTAAAATCGGATTAAAATTGAAAAACTAGCCGTTATTGTTGACTTTTATTAGATGAGTGGGACCCAATACCGTCTATATTTTCAATTTTAATTGGATTTTAATCTTTACCAAACGAGCACTTAATAATATAAAGCAGCAGTGAACTCAAAGTCCACGATGCCCACCGTCCACAGTTCGGTGTTTACTATGCCTCCTCAAGTAGCAATTCAGATGTAAAACATGCAATATTATTTACCATATTATTAGAGTCGGACAAGAAGACATACCACAGATGAACCTATACATTCTTCCGTTTCTGTCTTGAATCTTGAAAGCAAATGTATAGGGCATGCTGGATGAAAGATGGGAAAGAGATTGACCGGTTTCTGCTACTTCAGAAGCCAGCTTCAAGTAATCCTCACTGGCATATCATCAATAAATGTAAGAAAAAACCGAGTATTCAAGAGCAAAAGAAAGTACTTTTGGTAGAAGTCTACAACCTCCGTGTCTCTTCCTCATCATCTAGAGTGGAAGCCATCGCAGAATCCCAGAAGTTTGGCACCATAGAATTAGAAGCCTCGCTGTTCACTCCAGCATTACTTCCCACCTTTACCACCATAAACAAATCAAAACAATCATAAACCTAATGCCAAACTTATTCAAATCATCCCTAAAGGCCACAGCTCTGAATTCTCCCACCATGCTGTCAATTACTTTAGCTTGTGCCCACCCTCCAGCATCCCAATCCCAAGACAATGCCAACTCAAAACCTCCAATAACCCAACCAACTTTATTAAAGAAGAAAAGAAGACAAGATGTAAATGATATAAATATGGCCTTTCCAATAGCTTAAAACTTTTAGATCAAATGGTTTAAAATAGCATTAGAACAGGCAAATGCCCTAGATTCAAGTCTCACCATCGACCACCCATTCAAATGAATTGTGCACGTTTTTTAGGCTTTGATGGGAAACAAATGAATGGCCTACGTGAGGGGGAGAGTTGAAGACAAGATTTACATGATATAGATGTAATCTTCTCTAATAGCTTAAACTTTTAGATCAAGTGGTTCAACAATTTGAAACCAATTTGTTTCCAAAAAAGGTAATACGCCAAGTGTTATATTCATGTTTTGGCCTCAGAATGGTTAAATTTGACTTACTGTGGCTACAGCAGCCTGGGTTATATGAAGCACATCAACAACAGCAACAGCAATTCCATCTGCATAATATCATATGAGTCACCAGATAACAAATAATAAAATTTAGATAACAATTTCTCATGTCCACTTTGTACTTATATATACACACACACACACACACACCTCTATCAACAACCGGAAGGTGTAAGTATTTCCCATCATGCATACTGTGAAGAGCATCGACAATAGATGTATCGACTGTTGCACATTCTGGATTTGGTGTCATCACCTGCAGTATCAACATATGGAAAGAAAATTTAAGATATCTTTTACTTCTCAGTGCATCTAGAAAAACTAAATGGGAAGAGAAGGTTACCTGCTCCACCAGAGTAGACTCAGGAGGAAGGTCTTGAGTTATGACTCGCATCAACATATCCTTTGAACTGGCAGAGAAATAGAATGAGCATTTTCTTATCTATATCGACACTGAGAAAAGCTTCACCATTTGTACAATTACTCCTAGGTATTTATATCTTCAACATGACTCACGTTAAAATTCCTTGCGGTTTGTTTTCTACTGTCACAACAGCAGAGCTTGTCCGGAATTCAAGCATCTTTTTTGCAGCAACTAGTACTGTGTCACTTGGAGCAACTGTTACAATCCTAACAAAGCCAGAATGTCATGTAATATTGCTGTTGATCAAGATTAATTTCTAATTGATCAAATGTCACGTACAACTATTATTATCGGTAAAGATATTACCTACTTTGAGTTCTCAGGAATTATTGTAGATAAGGGCATGAAAATTCGCTCTTTCAGTGTCTCGATGAATATATTAGGACCTATGCATCCAACAGATAGTGTCTGTTACTTAAACCAACCAAGTTAAGTGTTGAATTGAATATAAATGACTTTAAAAAGTTCACAAAGAAGATGGCAAATGATGACACGTATAAAAGCTAGATCTGGAAAGAACGTAGAGAGAAACATTGTCCACCAACCAGACAGAGATGTCCCCCAGTGTTTCTCAACTCCTTCAACAACAGCAGCAATGGCCTTTCCCTTCTCAGATGCCCTCTCCATGCGAGCAATAGCATCATACAAACATTTTGCTATATCAAGTAAAGCAATAACCTCTCCCTTCTCAACAACAGGTAAATGCCTAAATTTTCCTGTAGGCAAGATATCATGACAAAACATGGGAGTTAGAACAAGACTTCTAACAGAGTACTAAAACATCTTATTTGCATATAAACAACCTTGTACCATCTTTTGCAAGGCTTCTACAGCGAGAGTGTCAGAAAGCACAAAAACTGGATTCCTCGTCATAACCTTGGACACAGGTGTTTCCATAAGATTAACCTCACAAGCAATGACTCTGGTAGCTATGTCCTTCAATCACATATGAGAAAAACACAACACAATATATATCTTCAGAAGAATTTGAAGAAGTCCTTAAATAGAGCAAAATTAATTCTTATATGTTAATTTTATTGAACAAGTGATTCAACAGTACATTATCCGTCAGGATTCCACACAATAATGCATTTGAATCTGTCAGCAACAAAGCATCAACTCTACGAGCAGCCATCCAACGGCTAGCTTCATGAATACTTGTAGTTTCAGGCACTGTCAAGGCTTTGGACAACCGCAATCTCTTTACTGTCCGCTCTCCTGATAGTCCCCTGTTGCAGAAGTTATAGAAGCTTACTGACAATACCATATGTCGTAGACTAGTAGCTGATATTGATTGACAGGGTGTTTTTTGCATAAACACTTATGCCATTGGTCTAATATATTTATGCGTCTACAACGTAGCCGCTCAGAAATTTCTTACACAATATATACATATATTCACATAGACACTCGCAAGCATACATATCTAATCGTTCCAAGTTAATTACTTGAGACATACAAGACTACTGGAAACATCCACAGTTTGCCACAAATAAATTAAGAAAAAATACACAAAATAGAAACCAATACAAAGAATAAAACCTTGTGACAGCTTCAATTAATGAAATGTGCGTTGAAAAGTTGATAAAAATTGGGTTTCGCATGAAATGTGTGGTTGAAAATGAAATTAAGGAAAAATAAGTTTTAGAAAATGGAGGTCTAAATACTTTCTTGACAAACACCATTAGGGTCATGCATTAAAGCTGTTAGTTGTATGGCAATAGAGTAATACAAAGAACAACCAAACATATACCGCAAAATACGAATTTGAATAAAAAGAAGCAAAAGAAATATATTCGTCAAAACGTGCACTATGCATACATGGAACGAGATGTTGAAATAGACTTTCGGTGAAGAGCCGAATCACCGATGGTCCCTCCCCCGCTGCTCTCTGCGGCGTCTTTCTTCCTGGACAGTGAGCTGTTGAATGACATGCTCCTCCTCGACGACAAGTTATCCTCCTTGACTCGGTGTCAACTTATATTCCACCACCTTATCCTTCATTCATCAATAAACAAAAACAAATCAATCATAACTCTCAAAATTAACAACAAATAAGAGATTCATTCATCAAATCAACATAATAAAAACTAATTAATCAATACGCTCAGAATTAACCAAAGAAAAAAAAACAGAGATTATCAAAGTGCTAAGAAGATTTACCTCGTAAAATGTATATTATAAAATGAAATTAATGAGGCAAAGAGGATTTCTCCCGGGGAAGAGAAAATGCGCGCCTGAGAAATGGGAGGGTGAGGATTTTGCAGTTCGTTTTTTCTGAGAATTAATATATTTGTGTACGAAAATAATTATGAAATAAATTTATAAATTGTAGGAGTGGTAGCCAATAAAAACTGGACACATCATCAAATTTTGTTCCCACTGAGGTCACAATGCAAGGATGAGGCCATGAAACATTGAAAAAAAAAATGAAATAGTGGAGTCCACGATTCTCTCTCTCATTCTTTTTTGTTTTTTTTAAATTATGAAATTCTTTTATTAAAAAAAACGTAATATTGAAAAAAATAATTTCTAATTAAACTATACCAAATAAAGACTAGATTTCTGACGAGCATATCTTCTTCTATATATTAAAAGTGGCTATGTAACGGAATTTTTTGTTTTTAACGGAAAAACTAACGGAATTTGTTGTTTTAACGGATTATGTAACGGAATTTCTTATTTTAAACAGGCAGTTACACCTTTTTTCAGTGTTTTTATTATAACTTTGTATTCCGATATCCGATTGAGACGATTCAAAATGCGTTGGAAAGCTAACTCATCTGGCTACAACTTTGATTTATACATCATTCTCCAATTCGATCACTTCTATGCCAAAAACAGGTCTCAACATGAGAAACGCATCTGGCTACAACTTTGAGTTAGACTTTATGCTCAAATTCGATCACTTTCTATACCAAAAATAGGTCTCAATATGATACTAAAAGATTGTAGCATAACTTTTATGTTGGAAATTGATTTGTGATCATCTTTTGACTAAATTTGATCCCCTTGACATCTTCCTTTATCCAATTGACTCCGAGCACTCTCAAATCTTCATCGTGAGATTTGACACAACTTTTAAGTATTTATATTTTAGCCCTCGAACTTTGAATCCCTTACAATTTAGCATTTTCTCCAAATTTGTCTACTTTTGCTTATTTTCTTCAATCTCACCAACCTATATCACAATATCAAAATCACACATCTAATTATTTATCAATTACATAAAAATTATATCATTAATTATTTAATTAACCAAAAAAATTACATCTTTATTAATAACAAATTAATTCTTAAACAAAACTATTAAATATAAACTTGCTTGCACCTAGTATGAACTAAATGTTCCAAATCCAATAAAACTTTGAACTATTAATTGGGCACATGCAGTCCCCCACCAGCACATATTATGACGTAGGCTCGAACACTTAAGTCGACCTTAGGCAAGCGACCCTCCAAAGTGCAATGGAAACCGTCATCAACCTAGGCCATCGACCTTCTTATAATAACTCCTCATTCCATCCTTATTCTACTTCCGATGGGATCGTGACAAGACAACTCCCAAATCACAAGTCCCAACATATTTCTCACGAAGTTTACTTACATTTAATATGTAATTCAATCATCCTATATGTATATCTTTATTGACATTAAATTAGACGTTGTTATGAAATAATGCTTTTTACACATTGATTTAACAATACTTTAAACAATCAACGACACAATATTTTGACAACACATGGAATGTCAAACTTAATATATTCAAATATGTTTATATAGAAAAAGTAGCTTATGTTAAATTTTAACGGTAAATTCTTACTTATTTAAATTTTATATTTTATTTATAAGTAAATTACATATAAGAACGATATTAATTAGTCATTACAAGTCACTCTCTATAATAATACCCTAATAAAGTTGTGATCATCCGGAAGACTTTATTAATTATTAGCAAAGAGTTCTGCAATATGACTGCTGCAATTCCAATTTTTTTTCCAGTAAATGTTGATGGAATGAATCGTCAACTTTTTGTAGATCTCATTTCTCTTAATTAATGCACGATTAGTCTTTAGATGGGGTATATCAATACTCAAGTTTTTACTAGGTAATAAAATTACATAGTACGATCAGCGGTCAATGATAAGAAATTTGAAAGGAGATGAAAATAGTCGGAATCGGGGTAAGTTTTAGACCCTATTTGATGTCCATTATTGAGAAAAAAATGATATTTTGAATAGTATTTTTTGGATAATGTGTAATAGGAACAATGAGGCTTTGTATCTCAAGCCAAACTCGCTATTTTTCGGTCCACCCACTGGACAGGGCTATGGGGGGCCTTGCATTTTTCTGTATGAGGAAATTGCACAAAACCAGATTTTTAAACTTTCAATTTCAAATTTCAGATATAAACTTTATTTATACAAAAATTAAATATTAATTCATCTCTATCTAAATTATAATTACCCAAACCCTAAAAATCAAAATTCATTTTACATCTTCATTCTCTCTCTAACCTCTCCTTCTCTCTCATCTCTCGCCTCTCTCTTCTTCCCGCCGCTGTCATCGAAGACCTCGCAAGGCCGTCGTTGCAAAGTCGGTCGTGTGTAGTGGTTTGGGTAACATCGCAATCCGTGCGGTGGTGGTTCGTCTTTCTTTTTTTTTATGAGGTGTGCAGCGGTTTGGATACGGTGGTGGGGGTTGGGTGTGGTGGTTTCTGATCTGGAGGGTTTTTTTTTGGTTGTTGGCGTGGTGGTGGTTCTGTGTGCTTTGGCGTGGTGCTGTGGTTCTGGTTGTTGGCGTGATGGTGGTTGGGCAGTGGTATGGTGGTCAGTGAAGGCGGCAAAGATGATGATAGGATTAGAGATTTTTTTTTAAGTTGTAGAATGGGGGGTGGTGGTGAGGTCCTATTGTTTTGGTGGTGGTGCAAGGTGGTCGTGTAGATGTTGGGTGCAGCACGTTGTGGTCGACAACGATAGTGTAGATAGTGGTCACAGTGGTGGTGATGAATTTAAGGAAGTGATGATCGTGTTGACAAAGGTGATGTGGGCGGTGTTGGTGAGGTTGTGGGGTGGTGCGAGGTGGTGGTGGCAGCAACGACGACGATGGGTTTGTCACGATGGTGGTGGAATGACGTGACAATGTAGTGTGTTTTTCTACAATGTGTTGATTAGTTTGAAGTGATTGTATTGTTGTCGGAAGGTTGTGGTGATGGTTTTGGTGGCAAAAGTGGCGGTGATGCTGCTGGAGAGAGTGATGCGGTGGTGGTCACAAATTATTTGGTTGATTGTGACCAATAAATAATACATAACCAATGAAAAAGATAAATTGTGATCAAAAAATAATGTGTGACCTAAAAAAATTTTAATTTGTGACTGATAATTTAACAATTTGTTATAATATTTGTGATTTGTGATTAATAAATAAATTGTAAAGAATAATTTTTTTTATTTATGACCGATGAATAAATTGTGACCTATAAAACTTCTGAATTGTGACTGTAAAATAATTTGTGACATATAAATTTTTGAATTATGACCGTAAAATAATTTATGACATTTCAATTTTTTATTTGTTACCGATGAACAAATTGTGACCTATAAAATTTTTGAATTGTAACCGTAAAATAATTTATGACATATAAAAATTGTGGTTTGTGACCAATTATATAGAATTTGTGACAAAATTATATAAAATTGTGACATTAATATATTTAATTAATAAAATATATGTTTAATTTATTTATTTATAAATAAAATTTAAAAAATTCTAGCCCATAAAATAATTTGTGACGTGTAAAATTTGTGATTTGTGACCAATTATATAGAATTTGTGACCAAATTATATGGAATTGTGACCTTAATATATTTAATTAATAAAATATATGTTTAATTAATTTATTTAAAAATAAAATTTAAAAAACTGAAATTTGAATTTTTAAACTTAATTTCTTAATTTTGAAATTGGTAAAACTAAACCTTTTATTTATGAATTCTTCCCTTTATGTATGAGAAAAATTCACTTTCCCTACTTTATCTTTACCCTATTTCAAAAATAACAAAACAATTTTTACATTTCAAAAATCAGAAATTTTGACTTACACATACACATTTATATAAATATTTATTTATACATATAAATATATAAAAAAATGTATAAAATATATATATATATATGTATAAAATCAATCCACCACCACCCCCACCACCCCACCACGCCGGCGACCGCTCCGGCGACGTCTCCAATTCCGACGACTTCTTCGGCGACCACTCCG